TTCGGCATCTTGTGCTTACTTCCTTGCGTACGGATGACAGCTGCGTATGAATTAATTTATTTTCTGGTGCTTTCACTTCCAGAGACAGTTGTAAGCACTGTGTAACTGCCTCGAGGGTGCTTGACCATTTTAACACAACGTGGTGCGATCATCCCCCTTGCGCGGAGCGAGGCTTCTCCACCCCGCACAACATGATCTACTCGACCACCATTATGGTTACCGCCATACCGCCATGCGGGGGCGGGGGTGTCAAAAAATAAATGTTCGTTAGCAAAAGGTCCCTTCATTCGCCGTTTTGCAGGATCAGTCGAATGGGGCCATGGTCCCCGCTGCTGCTGCCGCTGCTGCTGCCGTTTTCTTGCCTGGAGCTCTTCGTTGTGGAGGCGGACCACGTTTCGAATGTTCAGCAGCCAGTGCTCAAGGAGTCCGTGGTCGATGTTCTCCATTGCCGCACGGATGCCACCACAGCCGTAGTGCCCGCACACGATGATGTCAGTGACCTGCACACCCCCGTTTGAGAAGGGAAAACACGGAAGCGTCTTCCGTTTCTAGCCGCGCTGAGACTGACGTCCTTTCAAACGTACGTCGGTTTGGCGCCATCGATGTTATGAAAAAAAAAGGCCCACGGTCAAACGCACACACAAAGGAGAACCCACAGGCGCGCGGGGAATTTGTGTCGAAAAAAAAGAGAAACGACAGAGTACTTCGGCGTTCCAACCAAAGGTATTCCCCTGCCGCAGCGATAGTGCTTGCTGTCTGCCGAGCCCGATGAGTACGACGCTCCAACACGCAACAAGGCCGGCGGTGATTCCGTACAAGGTTCACATCGGCAGCAGCATCACCGCGGTCGCGAGCTCGCAAGCGCACCTCGAGAACATTGACCGCGTACGCGAGGGCCGCCAGCAGGCTGTGGTCCGTGTTCACGCACAGGTTTGCCACGTTGCGAACGACGAAGAGCTCGCCGGTGTTGAGGCCCTGTCACATCGCAACGCAACGCAACGCATCCCGGAGATGCCCCAGCGACGGGAGCAAGACGAGATGAGACGGGAGCAAAGGCGGACGGCACAGCCGCATCTGACACAAACGTGAAGGTGGAAGAAGGCTGAATTAGAACGTGTCTCGCTGACCTGCTGAGCTGGACGAACTGCTGTCATTGGCCACAGCCGATTCGTTCGTAAAAGGTTGCCCGACACAAAAAAAACGTCCCTGAGCAGGTTACCGCGGCAGTTCCATATCGACATACTGCACAAACGAAAAAAAAAAGGTAGTCTGTGATGGAACACCCGGTACGCTGCGCCCAAATCTGTCATTGGCGCCACTGGGGACATAAACGAAGTAGAGCAGTCTCTGACGTACCATCATGTTCTGGGCGGGTACACGGCTGTCACTGCAGCCGATGTACATGTATCTTGGCTTCTGAGACTTGGCGAGCCTCTTGAAGGTGTTCGGGTCTTGGGCCAGACGCTCCTCCACCCATGCGCGGTTGTTCGCGAAGATGTAGTCGGTCGACCTTTTCGTATGTTCCACAGCCACGGGAAAGAAGAGAGAGAGAGCGATAGAGCCTGGGGAGTTATCGGATTACGCGACAAACATCAGCGGCGTCGGCCGAGATCTGCCACGTTGCATCGCGCTCAGGGAAGAAAATACATCCAGATCACAACATTCCCGACATCAGAACCAGCCCCGACCACACGGGTTGCAAGCTTGTAGAAAACCAACTTATTCCCGCCGCCAAAGTATGACAAATACATGCAAACTGTGTGGTGGGAGTGGTAGAATGGACTCGGTTGGCTCTTTTTCATGGGTTGACAAGGCTCTCGATCGGTCTCCCGCACACAAACAAATTACTGCTGTGGGGAGGACCAAGCTTCCCGGAGAAGTGGTCAAACGACGAAATCGTGAATCCGGGGAAAAAAAACTGCGTGTCGTTGCTCATCGACGGACAGTTCATCGACGCAAGTGTCAGACGAGAGAGAACGAGAGAACGTCATATTTTAAAAGATCACGTTGTTTTTGTTGTTGTCAACAAATGGCATATTCGCGCTCAGAGCCAGAGCCTGCTGTACGCTGCTACCCGAGATTCAATATCTGCGACCCTTCAGAGTGCGCATGAATTCTGCGGGTGGTGACGGTGGAACGAGAGAAAAAAGAAAAATGACCAAGCTCGACGTACGGTAGAGACCAACCACTGACAAGCTGTGACGGCTGAGTGGAAACCCGGGGAATATGCCTGACCGTCCCCGATGTTGCTCCGCATTCATTTCCCGTCTCCCCCGTATGTACCTGCCTATCGTGTGCACTTGGTGCCAATGTCAAAATAGGATGCCAAGCGTACCAACAGCAAGGAACTCATCATGAAAATAAAGCCCATTTTCTATGTTTCCTTCCGAAATATTCGCTACTTTCCAAAAAGTGGTGCTTACGTTTCCGTTGGAGGCATATGACGAAGCCGAGGCCCACACCTGCTTCCTACCCAAACAACTCCTGCTTATAGACTAGTCTATCCATACGACAGCTTTGTCGTGCGTGTCGTCGAGGTTCACCTCAAAATCAAAGCACTCCAGTATTGTGAGCTGTTCGAGGTTGGGAAACGTGACAACGCGCAGCTGGTAGCCAGGTGGGGCTGGCCCTGCTGCCTGCTGTAGCTGTCATCTCCCAACAACTACACTTCTTTTTTTTTTTTTTTTTTACCACACTGTGACCCTCCTGTTTCTCGTGAGCCCACGCCGGACACTATGCACCAAACAACGCCAAACAGCGCGCATCGGATGTGGTTGGTCGAATATGTGTAGTTGTAGAGCATGTCGCGCAATGGTTAAATACTAACTGCCACATCTGCTGTAGAATACAACTATGAACACCAGAGTAGACCTTCTCCCCGCCCCGCATCCCTCGAAAGCTGTTCAGCTGTAGCATTGTTGTTGTTGTTGCTGTCTTCACATTGGAAACCGTTCCGGTTTCCGCTCTGTACCTCCTAGTGTCCTTACTGGTCCAACTGACGCGGACGCCTTCCGTGGTCACAAGCCAACTGCCCCCAAGCATAGAGCAGTAAAATTAAGCACTGCTCCAGTGCATTTTCCCGTTCCACGTGCCCTCCTGTTGCGCTTGGGTGTGTATGTCTCAGCGCATATCGATACGGTGCTACAGCAGTAGAAACCTTGATGGCTTATATCTTCACACCCCTCGGTTACAAAATGAAATTCAAGAGGGCGTGAGCTTCGGCGCAATCATCTCTCCGCTGGCGTTACAGTTGCTTGCGTTCCTGTGCGGTCCCCGCAAGAGGCTCTCACCCGTCGTTCTCGTACATCTGCTGTAAGCGCTCGTACGCTCCCGTCTCCGCGTCCGCGTCTCCTCCTTCTGACCGAGGCCGTAGCAAGAAAACTCGCGTGTCTGCCCGGGGACCCAGATGCCCCCCGCGCCCGTGTGCCTGGACGTTACGCATTAATAGGTGTGTCTCGGTTACGTTGTATGACAGGTTGATCCATTCCAATCGTTGGCCCTTTCAGTCAAGAGCCAGAACAATCAACACACAAAAATATCGACTCCCATTGCTACAGACTTGGTTTGAGCTACGTCTGGCACGTCTCACCGAGTCCAGCTTTCCTCCACCAGAAGGCGGCATGAAGGCCAGTACGGGGACGAGGAGGCCGAAGAGAAGGCCTAGAGCAGCAAAGCACGTCGCGGAGCGAGACGTACGAGAGGCCCCCAACGACATGATCGCTGCTGCTGGCTGCTGTGTGTTGCGGATGGATCTTCAGAGCATATGCGAATGTAGGTGCCGAACCCGCGTTTGTGTCTTGTAACCTATACCGACGAGAGCCAGCTTCGGTGCACAGAGCAATTCGTCGACAGCGAAGATCTTGTCACGAGAGGCAGGACCCAAGGCGTGCTTGCGTTGTGCACAAGAGATGCACCAAAGAGAGGCTGAAAGAGAGCAAGCCTTCATTGAGGCACAGCAGATAGGGCGAGCTGCATACCGTACGCGTGGGTGGCACAACATTGACACAAGATACCACACCCTCTAGACCAAATGTTTTCGGCTCGACTTCTCCACGAAGAAGCGGGTGAAAAAATCTTAACCGATGTGTATTTGGAAATATCTTAATGAGTTGGTGGCAACGCCATAATTTGTCGCGGCAGCTACTCTTGTGCTGCGGAGTAGTCGTGCTGTGAAAGTCGAAACACGGACGGTGGTATCTTACGTCATTGTACGACTAGCAGTCGATGGTACTCACGGTTTGAACAATGTGATGCACGGAGCCCCTTCAATGTCTGTGTGCGATTCAGCTGATCCGAGGCCAGACAGAGTGTTGAGGCCAGGCCGGCACGAACAGAGTGTGACGAGTCGCGCGTGAGAGCTCCCTTCGATTTTCTACCATCGAATCGAGCTACGACGTCAACGCTAGCATCTGTGGCGAATCCCGCAGCGTATCGTCGTCCATATCCACCATGAGGCTCTCCCTGCTGCTGTCGTTCATTGCGACCGCCTCGTCCTTGCGTCGGTCCTCCGGGTTCATGTTTGCCGCTGCTGGTGCCAGGAGTGGGTCGTGTAGCAAATGGAGTGGCGTTCCGTGCACCATGCACGCCTGCAAAGGTGCGTGTTCCTTCTGCCGCGTTCATGGTGCGTGGTTGCGAACGAGAGTGTGAGGTCTTGGTATGCCGGCCAAATGGTAGTCTCGGCCGTTGCATGTGGCACGTGTACGCCGCACACGGTCGGCTGAGGATTTCCCCCTAGCGCCTGCTGGAGCTTTTGGCGCGTGCTTTGTGTTTAAGTGGTGGGGTGCCTCGCCATTGCACAAGAGGGACACGGATACTTGCAGTCATGGTGGGCATTTGTCAATATGCTGCGGAAGGAGAGCCAACGTTGCACACACGATTTGCATTTGCACAAGGATTGAGATGGGCGGTGTTTCGCTTGCGCGCCAACCTACACATCAAACATCAAACGTGCGGTGGCTGCGTGTTTGTATGATGTCGTTGCTGTTGGGGGTCTCATCTGGTTGTGTTGCTCGACTCTCAAAAGTTGCTGCTCAAAAATGGATACACCGCTGGAAAGCCTGACCGAGCTGCACCCCACTAGCTGCCCAATGTATGCATTTCGGTTGATACACAAACCCCGTTTTTCCTGTCTCAAATCGGGGACAGCACGAACGCACACGGCGGTGGTGGTCATTAGAATAATCACTGCGAGGAGACTGGTCAGAATAGTTTTTGCTAGGAACTTAACAATAATGGTTGACAGAGCTTCGCCTAACAGGCGGTCCAAACGCCGGAGCCCCCGGCCGGGACCGTCAAGGGATCGTGGGGTCCTCCCATTCCCCATTAGACTATGTATCTTCCTAACCTAACCTCTCTCGCTCTTGGTGCCAAATACTCGAGGCTGGTCGGCAGAACCCCGAGATACACTCTGATCCAATGCACTAGAGATGTCAGATCTACAGCCGAACGGCTTCGACTTGAAAGCATGATCGCTCATGGTGCCGCCCCCGCCCCCTCTCTCTCAGACCTTGAGAACGACTCCGTTCCTTCCAGCTTATTTCGCCATGTGTATACCCAAAGTTCTTTACGTGTCATGGGCACAGGACCCCCTTTTGTTTTTGCCTACCAATAGGTCCTGACGAGCGCCGCGATTTTTTTCTGAAAGGCCTCCCGATTTGGCGATGATATCTCCTCAAACACAGGCCCGTCTCGAACAGCGATACCAGCAAGTGCCAGCAGGGGTTGGTGCTATGCGTCAAGCAGCTTGCGGATGGGTGAAACAGCAGGAGAGGAGGGGTTGGCGGCGGATGGCGGAAGCAGCGATGGAACAGCTCTCGCCGAGGCTCGAATATTGGTCCAGGGGCAGGTGCGTCATGTGCCAGGGGGTGTTTTACCTAATTACTTATTTTTTCTTTCTGATTTGGTGCTCTATTGTCTAGTAAAACGAGTCGGTCGTGAACAACTTAGATGTGACATCAGCAAGGTTATTGGATATTGGTAGATGCTACTAATCAAAAGTGCCTTTGCCATCGCTGTATTCTGCATGCAGAGAGAACGTAAACCCACACCCTCGCACCTTGTCGGAGGCTTTTATGGACTTTGAGTCTGTGAGTGTTGTATCTCCAGCCCAGGTCATCCCCCCGTTCAAGCCGCTGCACGCTTCTGCCCCCCATCCCCGCCCCGTTTCCATTCGCACCTTGCGTCCCCGCTTTTGCCTACGCAAACACCCGCTTGGATTACGGAATATGGCAGTCTACCGGCGGATACTTCCGAGCGCACGCCAGGAACGAGGCCCACTTCAACCGCAAGCTGTGCGGGGCATTGAAAGAGCTGGGTCAAGGGCAGACGGAGATCATCGTCGAAGGGAAGACTAGCGCCATCCGGAGCTTCCTGCGGTGGTGTAAGAGGGGGCCCGGTAAGTTTGGCGTGGGTGAAATCGCTGAGTGTATGCGTTTCGGAGACCTTGCGGGATGATAAGGAATCCTTTCCTGATTCACCGTGGTCCCGGCGAGTCGACCGCTGTACCAGAGGCCATCGCGCGGACGGGAAGACGTGGTAGGCGGACAAACGGCTGCGGGAATCGGGAATAGGCAAACAGCCGAAATGAACGGAGGACGAAAAGAAAGCCTCTGCTGTTTTGTCCGTTGAGAATCTTTTCCTCAGACGCATTTTTTGCCTAGCTCCAGCGCCCTCTCATGGTGCGTGTGTTTCTCTCCGTCCCTCCGTGGGCTTTTGTCGACATCACGGCATCCGTATGCATTCATGGGGTGACCGTACTATCAGATGGGAAAACGCACGAGGACGGAGAGACGGACCGGCGAGCCTCCTTTGCTCCGGCATATTCCTGACTCCCCGTCTGTTTTCTTGTCATGAGCGTGCTTTCGGCCATGCCCGCCGGCTTCCTCTGATGGCTCCCCCGTTTGACCCTTGATTTTCATCGTCGCGCCCAGGCTTGTCTCAACAGATTCAGGAAGTGACGGTGGACTGGGCCGAGTACACGGGAATATTCGACGGCTTCGAGGTGTGTGTCCAAACGTGTTCATTTTGGTATTGTCGGCTGTGGGGTGAGGAGTGTACAACTCCAAGCATCGCGAGTCGACCGGTGTACCGGAGGCCACAGCGCGGACGGGAAGACGTGGTAGGCGGACAAAGGGCTGTGGGAATCGGGCTTAGGCAAACGGCCGAAATGAGCGGAGAACAGGAAGAAAGCCTCCCTCTCCAGACGCATTTTTCGTCCTATTCAGCGCCCGCTCATGGTGCTTTTGCATTTCTCCCGGCAGCCAACCCCGTCCGCTGTAGTTGCATCGAACACGTGCCGTGGGCCTGGTGCAGTCAACCTGACTCTGTTGCAGGATTAAACATGTTTGCGTACATGTGTATCCAATGAGAATTGCTCGTCTGCTTTCTCGAACGCGCAGGTGTTCCCCGACGAGACTTCCCAAAACACGGCAGCCGCGGGGGCCCCGTGATGCGGACGCAGAAGGTTTGCCTCCCCGTGGCCCCTCATCGCCGTTGACAGTTCAGGAAAATCAGAGACGGGGAATGAGAAGCTCGGAAATAGGGCGCCAGCGCCTGGTCCAGAGAGAAGGATTGGGCGTTACATCATCCTTATGTCTTCAGCGGTCTGGTTTGGTACCGAACACCATTAAGGCCACATCGATAATATAGTTTACCGTTTCTTCGGACCCCCTGGCGAATCATTAGGCAACAGATGAGAACAGTTTTCGTCCATCGCTTGATTTCAACTGAAAGACATGGTCCACAACAATAGCTCTCGGGCCGTAGGGGGTACTACGCATCGAGGCCTTTTCGTTTTAGCATGCGGAAGAAGGCGTAGCAACCACGTCGAGCGCTGAATGCTATAATTTACGCGCGCACGCCGCGATGAGGGAAAAACAGTGCCAGTCGGCGTGCCCTTTGTGTTTCCCACGCAGCAGCAGTTAGTTACGTCAGCGGGTCGGCCTTCCTCCTGCCGGGTGGGAATAGCTTGTTTGTCCGATTTGTGCTCTCGTGGAATCGGAAGCGAACCTTTTCCTGGCGGACAGAAAGGGTACACCAGACACAGTCGCGGCAGGACTACAATTACATCAGCGTAATCTGATTTTTTTCTTTCCCAAGACTGCCTTCAGCCCGAGACGGGTGGTGTTCTCGACTGGCGGCCACACCACCTTGTGCAGTAAACGGGGAGAGTGGTTTTGCCGTGGGGGTGGTCACATGTGCCTGCCAGTGGTATTGGTATGCTTTAAATAATACCATGCCCGCTGCGGAACGTGTCAGCTTCCCTGTGATATGAGCAAGCGTACCGTGGCTGTGGTTATGGTGCCGTGGCCAACAATATGACCCCCACTTGTTCCCTTTTTTTTATTTTAGAGTCCTGACTTCCAGAGTCCTGACTTAAGACGTATTAGTCAGGTTGTGGACATTGGATGTGGGGAACGAGAGGGGAACATGTGAGACAAGCATACTCTCCTCCACCCACCTGTGCGCGGAATTTCGACAAGCTTCCGCGAAAGAGTTCCGACAAGCGTTTTAGCGCAAAGCATGTTGCGAATACCAACTGGTATGGTGCAGATATCTCGGCACCGCTATATAGCATTCCGCCGTTCATGTGAGGGGTGTCCGTCGTGTGAAAACGGCGTTGGATCCCATGAAGCGTGGCTGAGGACATGTTCAGCCGTACGTGTTGACGGGTCCATGTTGCACATGTCCTTAATCCGTAATTTTGCAAATGAGGTACGGAATACGTACCGTAGGCAGATGCACGTTATTCGCTAGAGGCTGACCATTTGACTACGTGCACAGTCATCGATGACTGTGCACGTAGTCAAATGGTCAGCCTTTATCCAATAAAAGATACACTCTCGGCTCGTAGCCAATCCCAGTGGATCTGATAGGGTGTAGTGATCTCCGGGGACGGACCCCTCGCCACAAGATGCTGCTATTAGCCGATAATGGTGCCTTGAAAGCGATCCACTGGGATTCGAACCCGTGCGTCCCACGTGACATGTCCAACTTGAAAATTGTCTGGAGGTTGGAGCGGACGTAGTTGAACAACTGTAACTCTTGTCGGCGATCCTGACACACGTTATGTGCTCAAACATCCATGTTCTCTACACCAGCGCGAAAGAAAGGCAAGGCAGGGATGGCCCGGGAAGTGGTTACATGCATCCCCACGTAAAAACGCTGGTGGTGGGCAGATGTTACCCCGACGTTATTTTCTCCATCCACCTTTGCTAACGTCTCCAGCAGTCGAAACGCATGTAGAAAATCTAAAGCGGGAAGCGCCCGGCCTCGGCGTCAAACGTGCCCCCTCTCTTGGGCATAAACGACCTAATTCCACTCCTTGCTGCCTTCACTATGACCGTCTCCAGTGGCCCCGCCGTACCTCCTGAATCCACTGCCGCATTGGTGCTAGTGTCTTCTGTCGAGCATAGAGGTAACATCCCCACTTTGCCCGAGCTTTGAGTTGTGTCGGCCATCGTGAGCGACGTCGTGTCCTCAGAGTGGGGCAATACTCCTTTTTTCAGCTCTGAGCAAGTGCCGCCTTCTCCCACCGACGCTAGGCTGGTGACGCTCTTACTGGTGCTGGTGGTGTTTGTTGTGGTGATGCTTCCTCCAGCCCTAGAGGCTCGCCGCCTAGCACCGCGTGCGGCGATGGTGGGTTGCGAAACAGACACCCGCCTCCCCTGCCGCCCAGCAGCATTGCCGACGGGGTTGCCTGTTCCGTCCAGCGGCGCCTGGTGTTCGGGCCGGAACAGCACGCCCGACGCCCGCCGGTTGCTAGCCGCCTGAACGGATCCGTGACGTGAGGCCGCAGCTGGGAACAGGCTGCTGCGGCGTGCAGCGGTGAGCGCCATGACGTTGTTGTTGATACCACCGCCGGTTGGCTGAAGGACCGAACTACGGCGCGCCGAGCCAATGGAGGAGATGTTGACGGATCCCCTTCGTGCAGGGTGGATCTCTCTCCGCGTCTGAATGTACTTTTCGACCTGTTGCAGAAGGAGAGCAGTTAGCATTGGAACCGGGAGGTGCGAGCAGCAGACAGCAAGGGCCGATCGATCACATCTTGTGGGCACACGGGCGGGTATATCGAAAAAGTGACCGCTGCACGAGCGATGGTCACTGCGATCACCCTCCGGCCAATCGCAAACTCTCCGCGTCGCGGGTCCAAGTCGTGAGGACTACATGTAGAACGACAGAACCAACGGGGACACGGGTTGATCTTTGAAGTTACCACCTCACCACCAATACCTTGGCCTTTTTCCATCGCACACATACCATTTCGTCCGCGTTCGCTGAAGCCCTCACGACCGCCACCTCCCAATCCACGACCGAAGGGTCGGGCATTCCGCCGATGCCGGCCGGCGGCTGCTGCTGTCTCCCAAACATCTGCACGCCACCACGGCGTTTCCCTCGTCGCCAGGAAGCTTGGTCGTTGCTGAGGCCACCGTCCGATTCCGAAGAGATGCTCGTCGCCTCCGACACCGAAGAACTACGCTGCTGCCGACGCCGCCGAGACTTTGTCGCTCTTGTCCAGCTACTCCCACGCCCGTCGGCCGTGGAGTTGTCGTTGCTACCGCTGTCGCTCTCGCTAGAAGTCTCGTCCTCGTGTTCTTCTGGCGTGGAACCGAGGCTCATCAGAGGATTATCCTTGCCACCGCAGCTGCTGTGACTGGTCGAATTGGTGTGACCTTCTTCGTTGTCGAATGCAAAGTTGCTGCTGTCATCGCGGTCGTTGTTGTTGTTGCAATTTATCCCGTTGATGCTGCTGGAGCTCCCCGCACTCCCGCGGGGGAAGCTGTCTTCGTCGGCATCGTCGGGGTGCCCTAGCATCGTTCTGCTTGCTTGATAGGCTTCCTGTGGCAAGTAAGGGCATACGGACGGAAGCCGCGGGCGCAGTTTGTACTCTCCCATCAATCAGGATGCTTCAAATTTCATAGTATAGCGAATTGTGCCCATCCCATATTTATCACCCGTTAAAGTGTCCGGCAGCCAACCCTTGAACGATACGCCCGTTGGGCTAAAGAGTCTCGAGCTAAATTCTCGCAGCCGTTACATACGCCAAAATGCTTGGTGTGAGGTGATGAAGGAGATGAGTAGGAAAGCTGTCCTGTCCTCGAATCGCCGTATGAGACGCAGGACCAGGTGTAGGGTGTTTGCCGTGTAGGCGGGAGCGGCACCTTTGGCTCTAGCTTGCCGCAGTTCGCCGACGTCGATGATGGCAGTCCCCGGAATCCATCGGCGTCGGTGTCTCCGGCGAGCGCGGCGTTTATTCCAGGATCGTCGTAACGTTTCGCGTCGTCTTGCTTGGTGGACACCTCCATGTCCGGCTCTCGGAGGTCGACGTCTAGAGCCTGAACAAAGACGGCGAGAAGGGTGTCGGAAGAGGATGTTTTGCAAGGAACGGGGAAGCGGTGTGCCTCGCGATTTCTGAAGCCTCCAAGCAAAGGTGGTTGACAAAAGTGCTCTCGAAGCTGTTTGGCCGCTCGCAATGTGTCTGACCTGAAGCTTCTGCCAAGGCATGCTGTACAGCGCGTCTCCCGCCTCCTTCTCTATTGCGGCGGCCGCGGCCACCCTTTCCGCCTTCTGGGTACGGCTGTCGGCGGGCGCCGGGAGCAGCGAACAGTTCTGCTCCAGCATGGGTAACACGGGTGCCCTCGACTCTACCAATATTCCTCTAGTTCCGTTGACCCACGATTCGGCCTCGATCTCACAAAGAAGCTCGTTGTCGATTGTCAGGCTTTCGTCGGCGTCCTTCCAAGACACAAGGAGGAACAACAAGAAGGATAGGAAGACACAAGACGGGGAGATTGAACGAGTTTGCCCCAAAATACCGATGGTATTAGCTGAGTATCTTGGGCAGCCTTAACCCGGTGGCCACGGTCAGTGTAATGTTTTGAGGAAGCATCACCTGCCTTGTGACATGTTCCAAGTTTTTTCCATGAGCAGGGAGTCGCCATGTCGACAGGCGAATGGGATGGACCCCGTTCGGACAGCTTTGGAGTCTGGCAGTAGTTATGGGCGGGCCTACATGGCAGCCTGGCGATGATGCAAGTACCGTAATAGTCGGAGAGTTGGCATCGGCCGGAGAGATGGCACCGGGGTGCGATACAAAAAACGAGAAAAAGCATTTAATTCGATTTACGCACCAGGGTCGGTGAGATCACACCGGGTGCGACCACTCTGACCCCCAAATCCAAGATTGAGCTCCTTTTCAGCTGCCGGAATGAGGTACATGTGTGTACCTTTTACACGTGGGGACGGTGTCAGCGGAGCGTCACTCCTTCACGTACGATTGGATGGTCGCGCTTCACGCGGGATGCCAGTTGTTTTCATTTCTTAATTGGTATTGAACTTGCCACCGGCACACCCAACCAAACACACAGCGTACAAGCCGCACCCCCACCTTGCACAACCCGCAACGATTGTACTGCTGCGCACGTACTGGTATCCGTAGAAGAAGACCAAAACGGAAGCGGAAAACAATTGATACCGTGTGTACTGGTTCCACCTCAGATGGAAACGACATCGTTTGTTGTTGTTACGCCATAGCTGAACTCGCATCAAACACAAGACCACTCGCTGCATGGAAAGCTGTTACGTACCAGCCTACGTTGCCGTTACCGGTGTGCTTCCAACCAACAACAACGGTACCTAAACGTGTGGTTCTATACTGATCAAGAGCAGTGTCAACTACCGATTGTCACAACTCCATCTACTCTCCTTCCTTCTCCCCACCCCCCCGACTCGCCCCCCCCGGTGTTTGCCATCGGGGTAGGGTTTCGTCGCTTGGCAACGACGTTGTAAAACAAGCCAATTCACTTCGTGAACTCGGCAACCAGGTTACCGTTTTTTTTTTACCTTCGGTTTTTTTTTTGGCGGTAACCATAATGGTGGTCCAGTAGATCATGTTGTGCGGGGTCGAGAACCCTCACTCCGCGCAAGGGGGATGATCGCACCACGTTGTGTTAAAATGGTCAAGCACCCTCGAGGCAGTTACACAGTGCTTACAACTGTCTCTGGAAGTGAAAGCACCAGAAAATA